TAAGAATACATTTCTTTGGGCCAGGGATATAGCTCAGTGGCACAAGTGACTACCTGGCAAGCACAAGGTCCTAAGTTTGAATCCTGGTGCCAAAAAGAAAAGGAATACCGTCATCAATATTTCCTCACATGGCACAGTTGCAAAAGGGCCAAACAATCTCTCCCAGGCCTCTTTGAATAGGCACTAATCCCAACCATAATGGTTCTGGCCCTGTGACCTTATAGACCCAAAGCCCTACCTCCCAATACTACTACACTGGGGGTTAATTTTCAACATAAGAATTTTGAGGAAACAGGTACCTTCATACTGTAGCAGACAATTTTTAAAATGAGGTCATTTTCTCGCTATTAAACTGTTTTACACATTAACCCCTCACTAGATGTATGGCTTTCAGATATGTTCTCCTATTCTGTAGCTTGTCTCTTCACTCTATTCATTGTTTCCTTTGCTTTAAGGAAGCTTTTTAATTGGATATAATAACATCTGTTCATTTTTACTTTTTGGTCTACACTTTTGGGATAATAGCCATAAGACATTTTCCAATGTCAGAAGTTTTTGTGCTGAGTTTTCAAATGCTAGGTAAAAATCTTTGTTCTATTTTGGGTTACTTTTGTATATGGTATGAGATAATGGTCTAAATTCATCCTTCTATATTTCAATAACCAGTGTTCTCTTCACAATTTTGTAAACAGATGACTTTTTTCCTATGTGTGTTCTTGGTACATCCATTGAAGATCAATTAATCATAAATACATAGATTTATTTCTAGGCTTTCTATTGGTATATGTGTGTATTTATTGCTAATACCATACTGTTTCAATAACTATACCTTTGTAATATATTTTTGTACTGCATAGTGTAATACTTCCAGATTTATTGTTCTTGCTAAAAATTGATTTGGTCATTTGGGGTCTTTTGTGATTTCATATGGATTTGATGCTTTTTCTCTAATTATGTCATCAAAATGCTGATAGAAATTATCTTGACTTTAGATTGTCCTGTAGGCTGCTTTGAGTAATATGGATATCTTAACAATATTAATTCTTCCAATTATGAATGTAGGATATCTTTCAACTTATTAGTATCTTTAGTTTCTTGTTTTCTTTTTTTGGTTCTGGGAATCAAATTCAGGACCTCACGCTTGCCAGGCAGGCGCTTGTGCCACTAACCTATCTCCCAGCCCCTCTTTACTTTCTTTCATCAATGTCTTCATAGTTTTTAATGTGGAAAACTTTAACTTCCTGCTTAAAATTATTGCCATTTTATTTATTTTTGATGCTAATTTAAATGTTCTTTTTAAAATTTCTTTTTATGGGTAGTTCATTGTTAGTATGTAGCTATACAACTATTTTTGTATGTTTAATTTTCTAAGTTGCAACTTTACTTAATTCATTAGTTGTAACAGTTTTCTGGCAGGGTCTTTACATATTTCTCTATTAAAAGCATGCCAGCATGCTTTTAATAAAGCATCTTACAGCATGCTGTAAGATGAATTTACTTTTTTCTTTCAAATTTGGATGACTTATCATCTTTTTTCTAGTTTTATTGCCCCGGCTAAGACTTCTAGCGCCACACTGAATAGAAAAAAGTGGGCATCTTTGTGTTATTCTTGTGCTTAGGAGGAAAGCTTCCAGTTTTTCCCACTGTTTATGATATATTAAGTATAGGTTCTCATGTATAACTTTTATTGTGTTTAGGGCATTTCTATATCTGTTTGTTGAGAGCTTTTTTGCCATGAAAGAAAGTTAAATTTTGTGGAATACATTTTATGCATCTGTTGAAATTACATTTTATCCATTCATTCTGTTAATGTTTATTTTGATCAGTTTTTATTGAACTGTCCTTGCATTCCAAGGCCAAACCCCCACTTGATTATGGTGTGTCAGCCTTTAAATGTGCTATCGAGTTTGATTTGCTAGTAGTCTTGATGAATTTCACATCTATAGTCATCAATAATTGTATTGTTAGGCTTGTCTGGCTTTGGTACTAAGATTATGCTAGTCTCATAAAATGAACTTGGAATTATTTCCTCCTTGTCAAATTTTTGAGAGATTTTGAGAAGCATTGAAATTCTTCGTTGAATATTTGGTAGAATTTACCAGTGAAGCTGTTAGTCTTGAGCTTTTCTTGATTGAGAGGATTTGAATAATCAGTCTCCTTACTCATTATTAATTTGTTTAGATTTTTTCCATGATTTATTCTTAGTAGGCTCCAGAATTCTAGGATGTTTCCATTTGTTCTGTGTTATTCTACTTTTAGCATACAATTGTTCATTGTATTCAATTATGATTCTCTGTATTCCTCTACTATCATTTGTAATTTGAATCTTTTCAAATTATGATTTCATTTATTTGAGTGTTTTTCTTGGTCTAACCAAAGTTTTGTCAATTCTGTTTATCTTGTTTAAAAATAACTTTTAGCTAAATTGATTGTTTCAATTGTTTTTGTTCTCTCTGTTTGACATATTTCTGCTTTACCACTTCCTCCTTTAAATTAATTTTGGACTTCATTCTTTACGTTTTCTAGTTTTTAAGATGTTAGAGCTTTCTTTTTTCTTAGTGTTGATCACTGTCATCTGATGGTAGTGTTCATCACTATCATCTCTATTCTTTGAACTATTTTTGTTACATCCCAATAGTTTTTATATCTTGTGTTTCCATTTTTTTTCAAGATACTTTTTTATTTACCTTTAGATTTATTCTTTAAACTACTGATTGTTCAGGAACTTGTTGTTAAATTTTTACATATTTCATTTTTTTCAATTTTTGTCCTGTTACCGATCTCTAACTTCATACCAGTGTGTTCAGAAAGAATATTAGTGATGACTTCAGTGCTTAGGAAGACTCCATTGCTTCTGGGTACTACTGAACAAGAAAGTGAATGGGCATTCTTAACCTCTGCTTGATAATGAACTTACCACATAGTTCCATTGGTTCCAGTGGAGTATTAATCCAAGTGAGCTAAATTATGAACTATCATGATTTATCATGCAATATAATTTTTTTAACTTCTAAGTTATTCTAAGAAAGTTTTCAGGGAATCAGCAAAAATTATCTCTAATCACATAAATGAATCAGATGAAAATGTTAGTTTCTTTTGTAAAAACAGGGAGATAATCAAATTCATGTATGCTTGTTTATATATGTGTATATATACAAAGGGAGAAAAAAGGACAGTGATGAGAATTTTTTATTTTAAAGAGAATTAAAAAGGAACAATATCAAAAGGCACTAACATAGATAAAAAGAAAACAAAGCAAAAAACCATAAGAATGGTGCATAGCAGATTTTAATATAGACTTATTTCTTCTCTTTTGTATTCTTTTACCTTCATTTCCCTGATATTCAATGGGATAGATGAAGTAATATAAACTGATTTTGATGTTAAATTCACGGAAACATGAACTTTAGATTGTTGTGTCTTAATAGAGGGAGTTTCTTCAATTTGGCGCTCATTCTACATCATAGATTAGCAAAAGTTGACCCAATCACCAATAAAGGAATTAGCACACATTTACACTCAAAGATATATTTTGTGCGTATTTGCTCTCCTTTCTACTAACTTGAAATACATTAATATTCATGACAGCTGTGCATGCACTGGAGAAATCATCAATGGCATTTGTGTTTGTCTTACTTTACTCACTGAGATGAAATACCAGATACTCAAAGTTAAAGGAGGACAGGTTTATTTTGGCTCACAGTTTGTAGAGATTTCAGTTGAACTGGCTGGCTCCAAGGCAGGGTGGTATGGCAAAGGGACATTGAAAACAATAAATAGCCAATGACATGGCAAGCAGCAAGCAGCAAGCAGCAGCAGCAGCAAGTTACCTTTCCTCCCTTCTTTTACGTTCCATCGAGGCTATGAACCTATTGATTGGTGCCACCCATACCCAGAGCAGGGCTTCCATTATTCACACCCAGAACTATAGTAAACCCATGTAGTTATCACACATCCTTAATCCCAGTATCACACACCCTAACTCCAGCCATCTCCAGAAAGCCCTACCTACGAGCACATGAGACTTTGTTGGTGGGGGCATCTAGATGCAAGCCATAACAGTGGTGAATTATAGTTTAGTTTTTCTCCTGCTCATCTCGTATTTTATATACAAGTGCTAGTACTGTGAGGTGAACTGAAGCCCTCTCCAAATGAGACTCTTTGGGTCAATGCCAGCTTTTAATTAAAGATAGTTAACTATCTATTCATTTCCCTTTAAAAACGATCTGTGTTGATAAGGAAAATGCCTTGATTTTTTTAAAAAAATAAATACTTAAAAATCATATGACAAGAGCATTGATTTCTAACTTGATTCTAGATCGTGGTTATGCAAACAAAGTTCTTCATAAGGCACAGGAAAAGCTTGTTGTGACAATCCATGTAGGCTATTATAAACATAAATTATGCAACCTGCATAAAATAAATGAGACAGGTGGCCTATGTGCATTTCTAGGTGTGTCATTTTCTGTGGAAGGGATGATTCACTGCAGTAATACATACACGAGTTCTCTTTGAATTGATCTTGTAATTTCACTTAAAATATTTTTGAATCAATAATGAAATGCTGATTATGCAGAATCCAGAGTTTATTGCTTCTGTTTGGGGCAAAACTTTAAAATACATATGTAAATTGGATAAAATTGTGATTGTGTCAGTAGTGAGTTTACAAATATTGACAATTTCTAATAAGGAAAAATCACTAGATTCTCAGTATTCTATAATTATTTTTCCTAAAATAAATACAGAAATATAAACAGATGCCTAGCCCCATGTGGTTGAGGTCTTACTCTCCACGTGGCATTATTGGCTATTATTAAGAGACATCTAAGCAAGCTGGATAGATATTTCTTGAAATGATGCATGGTATGCAGTGCATGCTTTCATTGTGCTTCCTGCCATTATGGAATAACGCGTCTTATTTAGAAATACAACGATCATTTCTGTTAAACCATGCTCGGTGAGCTTATATAATAACACCTATATTTTGTGAATCATTTCAGATTTCAGAGAGCTATGCCTTCCTACCAAGAGAAGCGGTGACTCGATTTCTAATGAGCTGCTCAGAGTGCCAGAAAAGAATGCATTTAAATCCAGACGGAGCAGATCATAAAGGTAGCCGCAGTGTCAAATCGTGAGATTTAAAGTAATTTTATTCATAATGGCAATTTATATCTCACATTTTTATAAAACTGTGGTAGACTGAAACAGTTCAACAAGTCAGATCATCCCATTTATTCAAGTAGGAGTAAGTGAATTTTGAATATCCACTTACGAAGTAATTCAGCGCCCATTCCTAGAAGAAAGTTTCAACTGTGGAAAATAACATTTTTTCCTATAATAATGTTTTAATTTCCACGTGTCATAGTATCCCGCGGTATTTTAGATCTATTCAGCAAGGAAATTGATTTTTATCAATGACCTTTTAAGTTTACTTATTCCTTATTTCTAGAAATCAATGAATAATATGAAATTCCTTTAATAAAATTTTACATAAAATTGATTTGGCTTTTGATATCATTAAAATTTTCTAGATTGTTTACCAAAGTACACATATATTTCTGTGACTAAATCGTTCTCAGGGATATATTTTTACTACTTATTCCCATGTTTGTGAAGATGAGCAGTCTGATCAATGAAAGAAATAAAAGTAAATTTCCTTTGGCACTCAGATGTAATATAGAAAATAACTGTGCAGCAAAGGAGGAAAATACAAATACCTGTCTTTAATCATTATATTAGCTTCATTTTTGTTACTCAGGATTTTTAAAAGCTCCCCTAGTTAGAAATAATGTATTCATATTTTTAATTTGTGTCAACACATCTTTATAAAAAACTTACCATTAATTTTTCTTTTCTTCTGCAATTCATCCACAGTGCTACCAAGCTTTTTAAACTCTTGTTGTCTAGAAGCCTATTTTAATTTGGAAAACTTAGATCATTCTGAAGTTGCAGGTAGAATGCAATATCACCTTTATTACCCATGAAAAATGTTTTGTTACAGATAATGGAAAGCCTCCCACTCTGGTGACCAGCATGATTGACTACAACATGCCAATTACCATGGCCTACATGAAGCACATGAAATTGCAGCTGCTCAACTCCCAGCAAGATGAGGTAAAATGAAAAGTGTGCATCACTTAAAAAATGGAGTGAAGTCTGATAACCATAGCTATCGTAATAAGCATGATGGCGTTTTGCAAGGAGTAATTTATTTTTTAATGAAAGAATTCACCAGGCTTGTACAGATCAGGAAAACAGGAAGTGACTCCAAGTGCTGGATACAGAGTCCCTGTGTTAACCAGCCTTAGTGTTATGTAGGAATGTGACCATTCCCAAGAAAGATCCATTGTCCTTACCCTAGCACCATTAAGCTAGTGCGGGTAGAATACTAGAAAGTTCAGGGTAGGGGAAAGTGAAAGTATGTTTAACAATGAGCATCTAAAGAAATTTGAGCTCTCAGGGCATTTTGTTAATCAAAATAAATCAATTTAATAGGCATATCAAGTACCATCATTTCTCCACAATTCACATCTTATATATATTTTAGTTATTTTTCTCTTAACCATTATTTGATGTGTTTGCTCATTTCTCTGCACTTTATAGAGAACATCTCTGGTGATTCTTCTTAATTAGAAGTATTTTGATGTTTCAACTTATTCTATTCAATTTATATACTGAGAATTTAGCAATGTGCTGGTGTGTTTCGGATACTAAAATCATATTTGTTAAATATTCTCTCCAACTCTAGTCAATGCTCATTTTAGTTGAAGAAATTTCAAAAGCATAGATTAAAATATATATGTGTACTGCTTATAATCTCCAAAATATGTAAAAGCAGATAATACACAGTAGGGATTTAGGAAATTCTTGCTACTGGTTGGCAACTAGTTGGTAACCATTAACTAGTAGAAAAATACAAATTATCCATGCTAGGAACAAACATTCAGTCTAAAAATTCTCTCCTTGAAATTTTTCTAGAACAGGAAATATGGTAGTTTACTTTTCAAATGTAACGTTGCTTGGTAAAGCATCATTAAAATCTTTTAAAATTATTTAGTTGAGCCAGCTTTATTCATAAAACTCAAATCAATCTTTTATTCCCTCTGTGTTTAACCAAGTTTAATCTTGAAACTGCATTTATAAAATTTCTCAACTTCAGTATATTTTATTCATGGTATGCTCTCTGAGAATATCTTTATTCTGCCGTGGCAGGATCATATTACGTATGACCAGATGGCTAACTATAAATGATTGAATAAATAGCAATAAAATTGTGAAGCTAAAGATATCAAAGGTAATTAGGAAATATTAGTGTCTACCTATTCCTGACAATAAAAAATATTATGTCCATGATTTATTACATAATTGAAAAAAAATTGAAGTCTCATAAATGAGTTAAAGCTTCAAATTATTTGTAGGAATCTGATTTATATTTTGATACTTTTTCTAGGCAAAATGGTAAAATCAACTTTGTTTCAATAATAGAGCTGATATATGTTGTGTCCCTCTATCTTCTAAAAAACCATAAGGATTTTATAAAACAAAAATAGATCCTTTTAAATGTACAACTGCATTAGGAAAATGATTCTTATTTTTCCATTTTGAAAATATTAAATTGGACTGCACTATCTTAAAATATTCAGATAAGTCACCACTTAGCTTAATTACAAAATTTTAGAAAACTGAGATTATTAAAATATGTGAAAGAATTTAAATAAGGAAAACCACAATAAAATGTTATGTGAGATATACTTTGGTGATGAATTATATTTGAATTTTAATAAACATTAATCCAATAAATTGACTAGTATTTTTATTGAGTACCTTCTATATACCTGGTGATCTTGGAAATAAGCAGTAAATAAATTGACAAAAAAATCCTGCCTTTATGAAGCATATATTCTAGTGGGAGAAACAAACAATAAAGAAAATGAAACATAAAAGTATGTATATAAAAAGATTTTAAATGCTATAAAGGGAAATAAAGAAGGCCAAAAATAGATATCCCTTTAAGAGCTAGGAATTACAGTATGCAGCTTAGTGGTAGGAGCACCTGCCTAGTGTGCAAAAAGCTCTGGATTTGATCTCCAACACCATTAAAATAAATAAATAAATGACTGTATTGAGAAAGTATCATTTGAATAGAACTGAAGAAAATCAGGTGTCCATTAGGGATATAGCCCTTCTAAGCCAAGTGTGCTTTCAGTGCTGTAGGGACAGGAGAACGGGGTAGCAAAATGAGGAAAAGAAAGAATAATAGTAGAGAATTTTAGAGAGATGGTGAAAAGTCAGGTCATGTAGGGCCTTATAGTTCAATAACTCTTCTTTTGTTTTACTGTGGGTAAAAGAAGTCATGTGATTGGATATATATTTACTGTGGGTATCAGAAGTCATGTGATTGGATATATATTTTAGCAGAGTCACATAGGTTACTCCAATGAGAATATATTTAAGAGACACAAAGAGAGGGAGAAGAGGGAAAGGGTATGAAAAAGGAATTAGGATTGTTTTATATA